ATTGTACTTCCTTTTTTATTCACTCCGCATGTAAATGTACAGTCAGCTTTCGGGAAGCGGGTCGTGGCCATACAAAAGATGCCTAGAGCGATGCAAAAATGAGAAAAATGGGTGGTCGTAGCGAGATTCGAACTTGGGACAGTCAGGCCATCATGTGGATGACCTTACCACTTGACCACCACTGTAGTTTCGGTACTCTTCAAGGAGGCTTCTCTGTCACCTTTGCTTAAGGTGAGCTGTTCTCAGACCCTGGATACCACTGAAAGAACTTCGACTGAAACAGAGAGAATTGTTGCTAGTTTCTTCCGAACAAATCGGTTTAATCCTGAAATAGAAGAGAGAGAGAGAGAGAAGAANAAAGCTGAACATTTCACATCTCGCTGTACAGATGCCGACCATCGCATCGACTTGTGTACGAATCTTCCATGGGACAAAGAACAATGTCCAAAAGCCTTTTCTCCAGTTTTGGTTCCATTAGACCCTCCCTCCCTCCCTGATGACCTGCTCTGTGGTGGTGATATTGCTTCATATGTGGGCCCACATTTTGTTGCTGTGACTGCGCATACAGGTTATACTGTTTGTATTTATATTTGTAAATCACCAATGCTGACCTAGTCACCCACACACCCAGATGGAACAGAACAGACAAAGTAGAAAAGGTCGATGAGGGAGTGAGAAGTTTGCGGTCAGATATTGTTCACCTGTGTAAGTATCACCCGGACGTTGCTCATGTCTGTGTATTTCCACAATGAACTGTCCAACCAACAACCACATACATAATCGACGCTCATTTATAACGCGTATCATTAAACACCAGTTCACAACTGTTTCACTATCGTGGGCGGATTTTTCGCAGCAAGATCGAATAGGGGAATGAATTGCAGCGAGTTTATCGAACTCTTTTTCTTTCTTTCAAACTCCTATTTTTTACGCTATTCTACTGTCTGTTTATTTTCATTTTCCGGCACCATCCGTATTCGGTGTTCTTTATTTTTCCCTCTTTCCATCTCATCTCCATCTCTCTCTCGCTCTCTCACTCACTCATTCATCATCCCCAACACAAGTGGGATTCGCTTGAAAGAGCGGTCACGTGCATGTCTGTCTGTGTGTGTGTGTGCGCGCGCGCGTGCATGAATGAGTGATTATGCTCGTGTGCATTCATGATCGTATGTGACTGAGTGTCTGTCTGTTTGTCTGTCCGTCTATCTGTGCAGTTTGTTCGAACGTCTGATCGAATGAGGGAGTGGTTCATCGATTCAGTGGAGAGTGGATCGATGAGAGTTGGCTACTAGCAAGCGACTCAGTTCACCACTCGATGGTCAATCAGTAGGAAATATCCAGCCTCCGTGAGGGAGAGGAATAATAATTCAATGCTAAGCTATTTCTTCATGTGCGCACGCACGCACGCACGATATCGTATCACGTTTGACATCCGTAGTTTAGCAATTAGGTTTTGTCCGGCGGATCAATCGGATTTGATATTTTGTATTTGCCACGGTTTCTTACACTGGAAAAGTTGTGACCGGGATTTCACTAACCACTCGCCGAACAGACGAGTACGAGACACTGGGGATTAGGCCTGGGGCGTTGGTACGCGGACGATACCTTGTCCTGTTGGGCTCGAATTCCAATTTTCCCTGGCTTAGTGTCATCGAAAGTGTGTTGGAAAGTGAGTGAGAGAGAAAGGTGGCGGCGGCAGCAGCGGTGAATTAACCCAGTTTCGCGCTCATGTTCCGTTCTGTTTTGTTGTTCTATTAACTGGATGATACTTCATGTCCAAAGTTACGATGTTCTTTAGTCAGATTTTCTTGCTCCCATTTATTCCGAATAAAATTTGCTGATTTGTGGCGAGAAATTTACTTTGAAGCGTTCGGATGAGGTAAGATTAAATAAATAGCGGTTTTCTAACGTTTGTTGTGCAAAATTGAATCATGCAACGTGCTAGTTGTTTACGAAATCTACGTCTTGCTACCATCGGTAAACCGTATATCTTTGGGCGGAGGAATGATTTGATCAACGAACGGACAAACCTAGCCAATTATGTTAACTACTAGGAAGTAATCTTAACTTACCATCTTTCTGCCACGGGTTGAATCCATTATCAATGATCATGTGGTGAACTCTGCTTTAGGGAATTTTTACACTCCCGTGGGAATGTTAACCTGAGTCCCATTACTTGTTGTTCCATGATTTGTTTGGCCCGCAGTCTACACCCAGACATTTGTGAAATATGATATAATATCAACCGAAAAGAATCAATATGTTTACACCCAATGACCAAATTCCAACAAATCCACATGACTTCTGCTGCTGCTGCCGCTGCTGCTGCTGTCCATTCCATCTTTTGGTCATAATGCTCAGCCATACGTCGCCCATAGAGCCTCTCAGTATTGAACACTACTGCTGGTCACACACATAGCGCATCC